AACATCCTGAAATTAATATAAAATTAATAGTCTTTGGCAAAGAAATCATGAGCGTTAAAGCCTAAGAAAGTCACATGTTAGTCATTTGAAACATATAACAATAATTGGGATGGGTTCAATTTCCATTTGCTGCTCAAGAATAACAAGATATCTGCACATTTGTATTAAAACAAATTCTGGACGTTTACCTGGAACATGTGGGTCAAAATATAAAAAAATTGGCTCTAGTGCTCCATTTGACCACAAGGTGGCAGTGTGAAGATGAGAATCAGTGAGTGTTTTGGCCACTGTGAGGCGCCTGGGATTACATTAAATCGATATAAAATGGGTGCCGCCTGTAGAGATGGTTAGAGGACTTAATTGGGGGAAACGTCTTCTGACATGAGCATTAGCATTGAAGACACCCAGCACTCTAAAGTAGTCACATTGGTGGGGCAGCTAACATACTGAGCTGGTGGTCATGTGACAAGTAGCATCTGGTTCTTCAGGATTGATAAGTCAATGAATTCTAATGACATGAATTACTGTCATGGAGAGACTGCCCGAGCTGGAAGCGATGCAAGAATGTACGTGACCTCTTTCTATCTCTGTGGCGCTGCATATATTCGGAAATAGATAGCTACTGGCCTGGGCAAATAAATGAGGTTACCAGGTCACTGGAGTAGCAATGGCATGTATTTGGGGTTGCAGTGTGACTCATTGTGTAGCCAATACAGCGAAGAAAACACTGAAAGAATTTAATTCGACAGACGAATGGGAAAGATCACCAGGTTACCGAGTTACCAACACTGAAGGAATATTAATGTTCCACTGCGAATTAGTGTGCGAATTATCAAAAGACGGCGTCATTTATCGGGACAGTCTAGTATAAACACGACCATGAAGATCACACGATTCATTTCTTCACTTATTGTCCCTTTCAGGCATTATCCAACCATACAGCACCGTCATGTAAGTGTCAGGGCAGAAGTGCTGAATAGGTTGGTCCTTCCGCCAGACCGTAATTAATCACATTACAAGGAGATCCAGATCCTAGATAAGCTCTCTGGGACACGTACTAATTTCTTGCCCTGAAGCATTTCTGCCGTTGTTTTCAGGGCAAATAGCCATATGACTAAAAATAGCCCAGGCAGGATACAGTGACGAGGCCCACTGCCGAAGTCTTCCACGAGGAAAGGGGGTCGTCTCCATGGCGATTGCATAACAATAGGGAGGAAGGGGGCGTGGTCAGTGACAATCAGCTGTCATAGTCCTGGTGACTGAAACACTTCCAGGCAAGACGGGTGAGAGGGAGGGACACGTCACTACCCAACATGCCGTCATTCCTGAGCAAACGACATTCCACGGAAGACTGTGAAATACACAGGTATTATAATAAAAGGTATGGAGCTTTTCACAAGGTATTCCGACCCCTTTACTTTCCCCTAACTTGTTTGGGTTTTAGACGTCGTTCGTAATTGATTGAAACGTTCGTTCCGCCATTAATCCAGATTCTAAATTGAAAAAGGAACGGTTTCTCCCACTTTTACTTTCTGTTTTCAATGCAAATGTCTGCATTGAATGTCCTTAAGGAATGTCGCCTAAGCTTCCACATGCTCCCACGCAAAAAGATTTGGAGGTACCAGTAATATAGTACACACTCTTTGCCAGAACAACTTTCAATAGATAAGACAAAATGTCACCATGAAAGTCTGGGGATTCGAACCAGTAACCTGCCCATCAAGAGGGCTGCCGCTCTAACCTCTCAGCCACATACACTGTTAGACTCACCAAAACGGTGAACTTCCCACTCAGCAGCTCAGAGCGCAGAGGTTCCTCCTGGGGTTGTAGTTTGACGATGCCCTCTTTCAGACGAGTCTCCTGGACGGATACAGAGATACAAGATGCAACAACGGTCGTTTTAAAGGTGTCACTTAAGAGGGTGCATGCATACATCTTCACGCTTTTCTGTGGTCCTACACGGGATTCAAACCCACAACCCTGGCATGGCAAGAGCCAATTCATTAAAAAAGTCTAGTATATAGACAGCCATTATCAGTTAAATGAAGTGTGAAAATAACGGCAACTGCTTTAATTCCTGCCCTTCTGTGTCTCTTGCGGTCTCCGAACTCAACACTGCCACATCGGTCTCATCTAACTACAGACTGAAAGAATGAAGGCAATATATGCATGAGTCCTCGAAGCAATCGTGCTGTTACCAGTCATTGCATTTCAGGGAAGTTCAGATGAAAAGAAGAAAAGGACAGGTAAGCTTATTCAACAGATTAGCTTCAGGATGTTTTGCTTCAGAGCCAGAATGTATCGTATTGCAGAGACATCATGATATCCACTGAGATAAGCTAGAAATACCAGCTGTGATTGCAGGATACTTACACAGCTGTAGATTTCCAAAAGAAGCGACGTGGCCGAGGAGGCCGAAGACCAACTTCCGTGGTAAACTATGGGACACCCAAGACCAACTGTTGTATTACATTTACAAGGGGTCAATGTAGAAGTACTATTGGAGTCAATATTTTATGGTGGCCCTTGGTGGTAAATTAGCTTTTAATATGGCATGCGCAAAAACGACTACTTTCAGTACGTAAAATGCAGCTCTTGGCAAACCAGCTCAACATTTATTATTTATGACACGGTAAAACTCAACCGGTTTACGGGGCTTGCGTTCCAAACGGTTTACCGGGGCTTGCGTTCCAAACGGTTTGCCGGGGCTTGCGTTCCAAACGGTTTACCGGGGCTTGCGTTCCAAACGGTTTACCGGGGCTTGCGTTCCAAACGGTTTACCGGGGCTTGCGTTCCAAACGGTTTACCGGGGCTTGTGTTCACGAATGCAACCACTCGAAAAACAGAAGTCTCTGGCAATAAAGATGCCGACTTAATAAAGACAGAGAAAGCCCAGACACGTCTTGCTGCTATTCCAGTAATTAGAGAACAAGGCGTTTAGAAACTCTCCATTTGCTGAGGTGGAATTAAAATTATATATATATATGTCCCATATATATGTCCCATTTTGTGTTAGTTACACTGGACTTTATCTGCGCTGACTAACAGTCCAAATAGATACTTACTTAAACGGCATGTCTATTTTAACATATTCTAAATGTATTTAAGTCTGCCATGCCTTAGGAGGATAAGTGGCAGCGCTGGCAGTGTCACTGTCCCCCGTAATCTGTATGAAAATACAGGTATCTGTTTCAGTGGAAAGGGTGTCGTTTTGTCCATCTCTGTGAGGACTCAATAGTGAAATGTGTATAGAGAGAGCATTTGGCTAGTGAGCGGACACAAAATCTGTGTTTTTAGGGAACACCAACAGAAGAGTACACTCCCACGCACTTACCCGGTAGCTGTGAAAGAGCTCAATTGCCCGGAACACGTCGAACTTGCGCGCCATTAGGAACTTGACGGCCACTTCCCAGGACAACGGGGAAACTCCATGCTGAGTCGTCCACTTGTTGATCTCCTCCAGAAACTGCTTGGTGGCCTAAACAAATGAACGTGGTCACATGCATTATTATGTGTGCAAATGCCTCTCGGTTCCCCCATGTAGCGCACTGCTTCTGAATTCCACCGCTGTCCTGGTCAAACGGTGTGCACCAAAACACACAAATGGTGTGCACTAAAACACGCAAATGGTGTGCACTAAAACACGCAAATGGTGTGCACTAAAACACGCAAATGGTGTGCACCAAAACACACAAATGGTGTGCACCAAAACACACATATGGTGTGCACCAAAACACGCAAATGGTGTGCACCAAAACACGCAAATGGTGTGCACCAAAACACACAAATGGTGTGCACCAAAACACACAAATGGTGTGCACCAAAACACACAAATGGTGTGCACTAAAACACGCAAATGGTGTGCACTAAAACACATTGTGTAACTGAGAGCAAGGGCATGTGTGAAAATGTGCAGAGTAGGAGAAGTGAAACTCGGAAGAGTCATGATATCTAGATTGAAATGAGCATACAGACAATACTGACAATTTTACAAATGCCTGTAATAGTGGTACTGTAATAGTGGTACTGTAATAGTGGTACTGTAATAGTGGTACTGTAATAGTGGTACTGTAATAGTGGTACTGTAATAGTGCTACAGTATTAGCGCTACAGTATTAGCGCTACAGTAATAGCGCTACAGTAATAGCGCTACAGTAATAGCGCTACAGTAATAGCGCTACAGTAATAGCGCTACAGTAATAGCGCTACTGTAATAGCAGTACCGTAATAGTGCTACAGTAATATTCTCGATCAACTGTGAGTGGTATTATTGCAAAGTGGAAGCATTTAGGAACCACAGCAACTCAACCATGAAGTGTCAGACCACGTAAAGTTACAGAACGCAGCCATCGAGCACTGAGGCACATAGAGCGTAGAAGTAACTAACGGTCTGCTGACTCAATAACCGCAGAGATTAAAACCTAAAGCATTAGGATCAGCACTAAAACTGTGCAATGGGAGCTCCATTGCATGCGTTTCCATGGTCGAGCAGCTGTATGCTGTATGTAAGCACAACCGCACATCCAAGCGATGTATGAAAACGTTCTGTGGAGTGACGTATTACACTTCTCTATCTGGAACTCTGATGGAAGAGTCTGGGTTTAGCGAATGCCAGGAGAATGTTTCTTGCCTGACTGCATTGTGCCAACCGTCAAGTTTGGTGGAGGAGGGATAATGCTGTGGGGTTGTTTTTCTGGTGTTTGCCTTGGCCCATTAGTTTCACTGAAGGGAAATGTTAATGCCTCAGTTTACCCAAACTTTTTGGAGAATGCTATGCTTAGACCTTTGTGGGAACAGTTCCATAAAGGCATGGTTGGATGAGTTGTGTGGAAGAACTTGACTGGCCCACACAGGGCCCTTACGTCAAGCCTATTGAAAAAGGCTGTTAGGATGTACAGTGTGATGAATAAAGAAGAGATTAATATGATTTAACTATACTAAAATCAGGAGGAACACTGATGACTGAGGGAATGAAAAATTCAGGATCATGGACGAATGTTGGGGCAGTTGGTAGCTCAGTGGTAGAGTACATGCTTTGTGTGTACAAAGTCCTGGGTTCATATCCCAGTTGCTCCCCAGGTCGCCGTTGCAAATGAGAAATTGTTCTCAATCGGCCTACCTGGTTCAATAAAGGTTAAAGGTGTGTGTGTGTTACACATATGCATAAAATAAAGGATGTGCAGTTTAAATTATGTTATATAGATTACGAACAAATGTGTCCTCGCTCAAAGCTGATCTACTCACCAGAAAGAACGTAATACATGCAATGAGAACAAGGTAGTAGGGGTTCTTAATGACGTAACCACGTACGCCATGGCCATCACTATAAGAGCGTTACGGCCTAAATAGAGCACTGTAGGGTTTTTGAGGAAATAGTTGGGATGCAATTTCACTGTAAATAATCGCATGCACCCATAATAACATTGTTAAAAGTGCAGGTACAAAATTAGCTTTATTTTACTTGTATTATTGGTTTCCAACGTCTGTGTTATTTTTAAGGAACTGGTTAGGGACTCGCTTTTGTGAACTGTTTCGGTTGGCCGAAATGTGCTGGTCTTTCATGGCCTCCCTAAAGGTTTTCGGGGAGCCCGACCAGGCCACACCAGCAAGCTGTCACAGAAGACAGAGGGTATAATGAAAGCTCACGCTCAGAGCAAGAGTTCCGCTTATCCAGCAAGCAAGAGGAGGGGAGTTACTTCTGGGCTTCTCCGGGAATACAAAAACCTAGTGATGAGCAGAGCTAAAAGGACAGGATGCCACTGTCCTCCACTTGCAAAGCCCATGGCTTACAAAGAGGGCCTGGTGCGTGTTGGGGGTTTATGTACAAGTCAAACAGCTAAAAGCAAAGGAGGAATTTAACTGTCGATTCAAACTGTCATTATATTTATTTTTTATTTGCTTTGCCTAAAAAAACTGAATTATATATGATAATTGAAGGTGAATGCAATAGGCTTAACATGTAAAAAATATATATACCCTTCAGGTTTCATGCTAACTAGCTGGAAACCTAGATAGCTAGAAAATGGCACCAACATATATTTGAGGCATTTAGTTACAATTGAATGTTACAATGGGCAAAATTAAGTAATTGTTTAGACAGGCACTCTGGTGTTTCAGATGTGTAGTGTCAAACAATCATGCTTGCTTCCAAAAAGCCTCAAACTGTGTATTAATACATGGCAATAATTATTTAACATAGCAAGCCAACTAACCTAGCTAGTAATAGTTAGCTAGAAGCCTTAACCAATCCACAAGCTAACTAACCTAGCTAGTAATACTTAGCTAGAAGCCTTTACCAATCCACAAGCTAACTAACCTAGCTAGTAATAGTTAGCTAGAAGCCTCAACCAATCCACAAGCTAACTAACCTAGCTAGTAATAGTTAGCTTGAAGCCTTAACCAATCCACAAGCTAACTAACCTAGCTAGTAATAGTTAGCTAGAAGCCTTAACCAATCCACAAGCTAACTAACCTAGCTAGTAATAGTTAGCTAGAAGCCTTAACCAATCCACAAGCTAACTAACCTAGCTAGTAATAGTTAGCTAGAAGCCTTAACCAATCCACAAGCTAACTAACCTAGCTAGTAATAGTTAGCTAGAAGCCTCAACCAATCCACAAGCTAACTAACCTAGCTAGTAATAGTTAGCTAGAAGCCTCAACCAATCCACAAGCTAACTAACCTAGCTAGTAATAGTTAGCTAGAAGCCTTAACCAATCCACAAGCTAACTAACCTAGCTAGTAATAGTTCGCTAGAAGCCTTAACCAATCCACAAGCTAACTAACCTAGCTAGTAATAGTTAGCTAGAAGCCTTAACCAATCCACAAGCTAACTAACCTAGCTAGTAATAGTTAGCTTGAAGCCTCAACCAATCCACAAGCTAACTAACCTAGCTAGTAATAGTTAGCTAGAAGCCTCAACCAATCCACAAGCTAACTAACCTAGCTAGTAATAGTTAGCTAGAAGCCTCAACCAATCCACAAGCTAACTAACCTAGCTAGTAATAGTTAGCTAGAAGCCTCAACCAATCCACAAGCTAACTAACCTAGCTAGTAATAGTTAGCTTGAAGCCTTAACCAATCCACAAGCTAACTAACCTAGCTAGTAATAGTTAGCTTGAAGCCTTAATCAATCCACAAGCTAACTAACCTAGCTAGTAATAGTTAGCTTGAAGCCTTAACCAATCCACAAGCTAACTAACCTAGCTAGTAATAGTTAGCTAGAAGCCTCAACCAATCCACAAGCTAACTAACCTAGCTAGTAATAGTTAGCTAGAAGCCTCAACCAATCCACAAGCTAGCTAACCTAGCTAGTAATAGTTAGCTAGAAGCCTCAACCAATCCACAAGCTAACTAACCTAGCTAGTAATAGTTAGCTAGAAGCCTTAACCAATCCACAAGCTAACTAACCTAGCTAGTAATAGTTAGCTAGAAGCCTTAACCAATCCACAAGCTAACTAACCTAGCTAGTAATAGTTAGCTAGAAGCCTTAACCAATCCACAAGCTAACTAACCTAGCTAGTAATAGTTAGCTTGAAGCCTTAACCAATCCACAAGCTAACTAACCTAGCTAGTAATAGTTAGCTTGAAGCCTTAATCAATCCACAAGCTAACTAACCTAGCTAGTAATAGTTCGCTAGAAGCCTTTACCAATCCACAAGCTAACTAACCTAGCTAGTAATAGTTAGCTAGAAGCCTCAACCAATCCACAAGCTAACTAACCTAGCTAGTAATAGTTAGCTTGAAGCCTTAACCAATCCACAAGCTAACTAACCTAGCTAGTAATAGTTAGCTAGAAGCCTTAACCAATCCACAAGCTAACTAACCTAGCTAGTAATAGTTAGCTTGAAGCCTTAACCAATCCACAAGCTAACTAACCTAGCTAGTAATTGTTAGCTTGAAGCCTTAACCAATCCACAAGCTAACTAACCTAGCTAGTAATAGTTAGCTTGAAGCCTTAACCAATCCACATAACCAGCTAGTCAAGCTAACTAACCTAGCTAGTAATAGTTCGCTAGAAGCCTCAACCAATCCACAAGCCAACTTACCCAGCTAGTAATAGCTAGCTAGAAGCCTTAACCAATCCACACGCCAACTAACCTAGCTAGTAATAGTTCGCTAGAAGTCTTAACCAATCCACAAGTCAACAAGGCTGAAATAAGGCTACATTTCTGTTCACTGCACAATTCAATGTTTTACATGCAGATTGTTATACAGCATATGCAGTTGTGTCTTTCGATAATTCTTGAAATGCAATTATTGAGATGTCGAAACAAAAAAGCAAAAGCTCCGAAATAGAAGTTAGTACCGCTAAACGTTCTCTGCCAAAGCAAGAGGTGCTGCGTTTTGGAAACAGAATGTAAGAAACACTATTTTATAGCATTCAGAAGAATTCATTCCATCTTGGTCATGGTATTGAATGTGTGTGGTCCAAACAACAACAACCCACTCCAAAATGTAGATACTAACTTTGATTCCAGCGCTCAGACTAAACTATTCAATGTGTTGGATCACATCTGCCGGCTCCAGAACCAATTCACTCAAGTTCATCATGCATCAAGCCAGACTGACCACTTCCTGGTCAATGCAGGGATTTTCCTGTAATTTGATGCAACATTAGTGCTTGCTATTGCCGAGTCCACCTAGATTGCATTCAAGTTCCATTGCCACTATGTAGGAATCGGTCATGTGATAGACTAGGTACTTGTGATTAACTGGAGCCAGTAGACTGCTCATTCCATCATTTCAGCAGACGTACAGCCCTCCATTTCCAGTAAAGCATTGAGATCATGACTTAGCAAACCATTTCCCAGACACTCAGTGATAGTGTGCCCGCTGGGATGTGCCCGCTGGGATATGCCCGCTGGGATGTGCCCACTGGGATGTGCCCACTGGGATGTGCCCAATTTTGTGGGTCAGAGTACCTAGATCTCCACAACACGACCATGAATGCCTTGCTGAAAAGCACGGTCATCTGCATGGGTAAAAATACAGTTCAGATGGGGCTGCAAAGTTGGGAAAAGTATTGCAGCACTGTAGTAAAATTAAATAAAAGATTTATAGGTTATTTATATTCCTGTCTATGCTAGCCACGCCACTGATCAGAGTACCCATGGTGACCCTTGTTCACCGTCCAAAGAGCCTACTCTGGGCACACAAGTGACAAAATTGGACCTTGGTCCCGTTTTGTTTTTTTACATTGTAGATGTTTACTTGGGAAAGTGATGGCACAAAGATGAACCGAGGAAGTGTGATGCTCTGGGCAATGTCCTGCTGGGAAACCCTGGGTCAGGGCATTCATGTGGATGTCAATATGACACCTAACCAAAAATTGTTGCAGATCGGGTACACAACTTCATGGCAATGGTATTCCCTGATGGCAGTGGCCTCTTTCAGCAAGATAATGTGCAGTGCCACACTGTACACATTGTTTGAGAATGGTTTGGAGAACACGATTAAGAGTACAAGGTGTTGTCATGGACATCATCAGGGGTCTGTTACTAATGTCTTGGTGCCAGATACCACAGGACACCTTCAGGGGTCTGTTACTAATGTCTTGGTGCCAAATACCACAGGACACCTTCAGGGGTCTATTACTAATGTCTTGGTGCCAGATACCACAGGACACCTTCAGGGGTCTATTACTAATGTCTTGGTGCCAGATACCACAGGACACCTTCAGGGGTCTGTTACTAATGTTTTGGTGCTAGATACCACAGGACACCTTCAGGGGTCTGTTACTAATGTCTTGGTGCCAGATACCACAGGACACCTTCAGGGGTCTGTTACTAATGTCTTGGTGCCAAATACCACAGGACACCTTCAGGGGTCTGTTACTAATGTCTTGGTGCCAGATACCACAGGACACCTTCAGGGGTCTATTACTAATGTCTTGGTGCCAGATACCACAGGACTCTTCAGGGGTCTGTTTCTAATGTCTTGGAGCCAGATACCACAGGACACCTTCAGGGTCTTGTACAGGCTATGCCTCTGCCAATTGGTGTTCATTTCATATTGGTGATGAATGATGTTTTGGCTCATAGGTGTACATGTTATAGGTGCATTCTCTATCTTTGTC